TCTAACCACCTCAGGGCTCCCCCCCCCCCCCAACATACCCGTTTGCTCCTGTGAGGTTTACCCGACTCGATCAGTGGGTACGGGTTTGGTATTTATCATACAATCTGAACAGAAAAGAGGAGGAAAAGGAAATTTGCAAGACCCCCGAATATAATTTTTTTGTCGGTACCGTACCGTGTGATGCGTTGGAGTTAGCAGATGTAAGCTAACCAGTATGTCCTGATTGATCGTAGAAGGTATGGGGGGTTTTTGTGGATTGTTATTGTCCTGTAGTTGTCATGATCTACACGTCTATCCTCTATGGCCACGGGCCACGGAAGCGTTCTAGGGAACGGGGATATGTGTGGTGATCTATGGGAGGATCTGATGATGCCCTCATCGTGTTTCGTATCATACTTGTATATACTTCTGTCTCTGCTCAGAGTATAGAATTGTGAGCAAGATACGGAAGTTTTTGGCCATATCTACTCTTCCTATCTTTCCTACAGTATCATACATTCCCCAGCTCATTCTACTCCTGTGCCATTCTGGGTACACTAGATGATGTGCCGGGGATTCATGGTATCGGTAGGGTTGGCAGTCTGGATAGTCCCTTGGGGGAACGACCTGTCCGATTTAGTTGCAGGTTTTAGGTCATCCTACCCACCTGGTGGTATGGAGGGTTCGAGATCTTTCTTGGGGGGGGGTTGTCGATGAGGGTATCGATAGATAAGGAAGGGTTCTACAAGTGATATTCCCTTATTCATATGATGTCACTCGTTGGATTGCGTTTTACTTGTTTGGGGAGTCGTGTATCATAGGCTGAGAACCAGCCCAAGATTCCGCAAACCTTATTTGAGGGTTCACCCTGCTCTCGGCCATGGTATGGGCTACCGTAAGAACTCGAAAAGTCAGACCGAGCACCAAAATTTTTGGAGCTGCCTCCTCCGGTAGGGTCGAGTTTTTTTATCCTTTTTATCCTCTCTACGTCATTTATCCCAGAAGCCGTGTTTTCTCAGGTTTGTACAATATTTCGTCTCCCTTCTAGAAGAGGAAATTTTGGACTACACAGCACATGGCGCGTCTACCCGAGTCTTTACGACACCCTTCGCCGTGATGATTATATGAGTGAACGATGTCACTTTGGCGGCCCGGAGTCATCTGGGGAATAGTGGTGATGGCGGCAGCAGTGCTCACAGGGTGATTTGACAAGAGGGGGGCATATATATCCCCTTAATTCAAGACGGGCCTGTGGTCTGTAGCATTTGTGAACCAATTTCTGATCTCACGCTTCAAACTAACGTAAACATCAATCTACCTAACCACTCCACCTACTACCACCTAGGCTCTAACGGCCCTGGAGCCACTCAAGCAGCATCTCTGCCCCCGCCTCCCATGCGATATCTTTCATAATATGATGTCCGCTCCCCTCTACAACTCCATACCTCACAACCTCCTCACTACTCTCCTCCACCTCTTCCTCACTCTTTCCCCGAACACTCTCCCAAGCAACCCGATACCACGCCGCCAATTTCTGCATGATCACCCCGTTCATGAGTTTATCCTCACCGCCGGCGACAACCAGCACCCTTCTCCCACCCTTCAGGGTGGGCAGAATGCTCCCAATAACCCTCTCAGGAGACACAAACTTTGTCATCATGCTGACGGTCCAACTCATGCTCTCGTATTCCGGCATCATACGCTCGATCTCGCAAATTTCCTGGAGAGGGAAGGCGCGAGAGAAGAATGCGCTGTGCACGAGGGCTGTGGATGACAGTGGGGAGCGGGGGTGACCGAAGTGCTTGAAGCATGTGCGAATCAGAAACCAGGGGTCGAGCCTTATCCAATTTAGGTATACTCCAAACCTATTATATGCGTTAGCATAACCAGCCAGCCAGGCTGGGTAGTGGCAGCTGAGTGGGGAGAGGGGGGCTATTACGATCCGAATCCGGGCGTTCCTGCTAGGGTCACCAATCCACCAAGTTTCTCCATATCCTTGTCAAGAATGTATTGCGCGAGACCGCCACCGGAGGAATGGCCAATTATTATGACGTTGTTGGGGTGTTTTGACCGAATGTGTGCGATCACGAGGGCGACGTCAAGGGCGAGGGCATGTTTTGCTGAGTCAATTAGCGTCGACACTCTATACATGAAAGTTTAAGGGACTTACAAGCCCAGTACATGGACCAGAAACCTAGTTTATACGACGCTCCATGACCGCGGAGAGAGGGAGCATAGCAGGAGTATCCATGCGAGGAGAAAAATTGGAGGTAATTAGAGAAGTCAAATGCACTCTCAAAGCCTAATTAAGGAGGGGATTAATCAACTGACTCTAAAACGCACCCAGACAAGAAGAATCGAAGAAGCCTACCTCCATGAATAAACAGTAACGGTTGCTTCTCCACTCTCTCATACCCTTCGTGCCACTGTGGACCAGAAGTCAACAACTCCAACATCCCACCCGGGGACTGAAGAAACTCCCTCTGAACCCCCTCCGGCAACTCAGCCGGTGGCGCGGTCGAAGGTGACCACGATATCCGATGTTGATAATCCATGTTAATCAATTCCGATGATCTGAACCTTTCTTTCCTACGAGGAAGAGTGATAAACGATGACCTAGAGAGCCGTGCTTGTTCCCGAATTAACCTGCGATCAGTTCCAGAGTCGCGAGATTCTAACACTAAGAGCAGACTACCCCGCACAGAAAACTTGGCACTGCAAAAAAATCCCAACCAATCAGACTGCAAAGACTTGACAAATTATCGCGCCTGGAGAATCTCGCAACGGAAAGAGACCTGTACGGGCACACACAACTGCCAGCAAACACTTCTTTTAAGCGACCACTGCAGTCTGCCGATACGGGGGACACCGGGGCTGCAACGGGTGGATTGTTCGGCCGAGCCAAGCTCTACACTCGTAGCTGGCTGGAGAGGAAATGTCTTAGATTTGCTGCTGCTGTTATGGGGAAAAGCAATACCGGTAGAGTACTCGAGTTCCGATACCGGTCTTTGGGAAATCCGCGGGGTGGGTTGGTGATCGATTAGCGAGGGGGTGGGCGGAACGCTCTCATTGGTGATATAGCGTTATACATCACTATTGTGTCCCCGAGCGCTTGTTTTTTTTTTTACCGTTTAATAATGTTATTATGATACTTCTCCGCTTCTGATACCCACACAAAGCGTTGCCTCTCTTCATGTATTATCACTCGCGATTACTATCTAGAGCTCTGGGCGTTTGTATGTATCAGACCAAGTCTGCACTAGCGTTTTTTTGCCTGAAACGATTTCTTTTTCTAACTTTGTCCTTGGCGGTGGCTTTGAGGCGATTATGCACTGCACCCCACTACCACCCACACAATCCTAACTCTCAAAAGCTGAGTTATCGGTGTCCATTTTTCTAGTACTAGTAAGGGGAAATAGGTAGTGATTAGGATACCATCAAAGGTATCCCTTGGTCCATCAGAACGCCCAAGAGATTGGTGGAATAAGTCTCAGTTTGAAACCCCACCAATTTATTTCTAGTTAAGAAAGGACACTATGGACACCTGGTCATTCCCTTTACTAGATCTCTAGGCGCAGCAGCACCTGACCGACCATAGAATAAACAATCTACCCCACGGCCGCATCCCTCAGCGCCCGCGAGGGGCTAGTCCTGCAAAGCTTTAGGGTCTGACCTACCAGGACTGCAGATACCCACTGCCTTTCGAGTGATCGAGCATGATCACAACTATTTTGGGGAGTTCATAAGGCATCCGTATATAGTGACGTGGATTGAATGGAACACTAGCCTATGCGCCAACAGTGTCCGAACATACATGACTGTAATAAAGTGATATGTTGTCCTCGCCATTATTGCTTATGGGAGCAGAAGTTAAAGAAACCATGAGCGCAAAACCCCGGCGCAGATCCAGAGCATGCCGATATATTCTCGCCCAAATGTTTCTATCCAACCATACGATCAGGATTGAAAAAAAGAAAAGAAAAATAAATAAAATAAGAAGAATGAGTTTTCAACATGGAATCATCAGGACAACGAGCGGCCTAGAGAACACAGTGGGGATGCTGCCTAAGGAAAAGCCCGAGGGATTTGGGGATCCTAAAATGATGGTGAAAAGTGGTGGGAGAAAATCGCTAGACGATCGGGTAATAATTACTAATGTGCGTGAAATCAATCTAACTTACACCTTAGTAATATCTGGAGTGATGTGAAAACCGCACATCATCAATACTACCCCCAATTCACGGAGCTCGCGGGAATGCCTTCTTCTCCCTCCCCCCGCCCGCACGCACCCCCCAGTCCCGAGACTGCGCAGGATATCTCTAGATATCGCACTGCATTAGCGGCCACCTGCTAATACCCGCCGATGCTTGTGGTTCCTTGAAGATATCAGGAGGGCGTCTTCAGATATCTGCTACCGAATGGCAAGATATTCACAAACAGCATGGCGCACTCCGAAGCCACTCCGGCGGCGCCAGGCGTATGAGAACCCCGTAGGCCTTTCTCCGAAGGCAGACTTGTAAAAGCCAGGCCAGTCTCACTCTGACCTGGCCACACACGACAGTATTCTTACAGGCAGGTTTGGGAACACCGACTTGCTCTACCCTCATCTGGTAGCCCCCCCCCCCCCCCCGTAGAGCAAAAACTCGCCTTTCCCATTATCCCATCCACATAATACATAATTAAACAAGAACTAATTGTGAGGGACAGACTGGGCTCACGGAGTCACGGGCTCCTGCTAGCATGGTCAACGGCGCCGGCTAGGTATTCCACCCAAAACTGCCCCTGGAGAGAGTACCTGTCTTGCTCTTGGGTGAATTTGGATCATTATTTTAGGCCCCGTTCGTTTCGCATGCCAAAAATATCATATTTCCACTTTTGTGGCATTCTTTTCATGGCATTTCTACAGCTAATTGAGGGTCTGTTCTAAAACGTCACAAATACCATGGGGGGTTTTTTTTTTCCATAATGTACTTTTACCGGTTTAGGGCAGAATATAGGGAGGGCTTCTTCACCTTTACAGGATAATAACATGAGGCTTTGTATCATAAATCAATGACAACCTTGGTTCTTTCGTATAATGGCAGAGTAGGCCCAGCGGACAGGAACGAGCATACGGCCAGCAATTCCGAACCCATTACTGTAGTGATAAGTTTTAATTATATATGATAGTATGATTGGAAAGGGTTTTATCCTTATAATTCGTTTTTTTTTTATGACTCGATGAAAAATCCGATTTTCGATAACTAAATTACTTCATGAGGTTACGATAAGAGGCAAAAAAAAACATAGTATGATATTCCATTTCCATTGCAGATTATTAGCTATTTCCAAGAAATAACATAGTATTTCTAAAATGGTATATGCTAAACAGACCCATATTATCCTTGCTTTTCTCCCCTTCCTTTCCCAATTATAGGTGCAGTACACACCCTCAAAGAGGACGGAAAGCATGAATCTCAATTGCCAACTAACTAGTCGTGGCAAGACCCATTTGCATCTAAAAGGAATGGGTAGTCTAGTTACAGTGGGAATACCGACGGAAGGAAAAAAGGGGGGAGGGGAGAAAAAAAAAAAAAAAGGTATGATACATATAGGCGGGGCTCAGTAAGACAGGACTTGTATGATACATCGATGAGCGTATAGCACATCACGGGAATATCATATGATACCACAATACCCCTCGACTTATGGCAATCGCATTCATGCCATTGTTCCCCGACCTTAAAAGCCCTACTTCCCAAGTGAGATACCCCCCCGAGGCTGATCAAACGAGTGATGTGCCATGAATCGGCATGACCGAGAGGGAGGAAAGGAAGAAAAATAGAATACATGGGGCCGTCAGTGTCTTGTAAATTCCTTTTTTTTTTTCCTCCCAAGCAGTTAGAGGACACATCTGAAGTAATAGTGTTCGTTTACATGGATTTTTGGTCCAGGGATAAGGGAATTACAACATGTCCAATGCAATTGTAAAGCTGCCCCCATTTGTGTGATATGATATATACCGATGATACCAGGACATTCCTTATTCCTACATAGTGCGCGCACCGCATCTCAGCCCGCTCGGAAAAAAAAAATCGTCAAAATGTTCTTAATCGCGGTGCCTTCCCTTCCGCGATGCATCGTCATTCATCCAACCATCATCAACCCTCCCAGACCCCCCGCGACCACTCCGTTGGACATCACGGAAACCTCCGTTATCGGTCAGGCTATTCGGTGATCCGGCTAGACTCCCAGAGTCCCCACTAATTGTGTCTAGCCCTTTCATCCCCAATCTCTTAAAATCCTTCATGTTGTCGGCCTTCGCTCCCTTCCATACTGCCGGTTTATTCACTGAAGAGCTCATTCTTTCCCTTCACATTTCCATCTCACTCCGCGCTTCCCTAGTATCTGCGTCCGCATCTATATGGGCAAAGGCTCTCGCTTAAACACCAACATTCTTGCCCTTCGCTCAGTATCCTATCCCATCCTATCGTACCCCTTTCCACTCACTCGCGAGACAATGACTCTAAAACCGAGTGATACACTATGACCACATGATCCATGACAAATAAAGCAATGGTATTCACGACTATTGCACAACACGAGACTCCCCCGTCTTTCACAACTCCTTACCTCCAGTATTAAACATCCAACCCCCTCTATCCCTTGGACGGACAGTTGGACACGTGCGCTACACATACCCCGAGGGATCGTCTCGAGGCTTGTTTTGTTATTATTTACTCTGGATAGATAGGCTAATATTAGTGCTTAATGATCTTCTGGGGAAATGGTAGAATCTGTCCCGTAGCAGCCGAAAGTCTAATGGTCAATACGGTGTCATACCGGCAGTCTCTCTACTCGAACGCTCCTTTTTTTGCACGTGATTATAGGGTATTGGGCCGATCTTCCGAAACGGGTTAAATTCCCGAAAAGGAAAGAGGGGGGTTTCGGCACATCGTTTGGGCGGAGCAAGGGATTGGTTGATTGATCCATCGATTGATTTCCAGGCCCCCTCGGGTGCTATGACACAGCAATTGGGGAACTTGGAAGATGTTTCACCGGTGGGATGCACTGCGCGCACGTATATCAAGAGGGAGGGGAAAAGGTCTCCTATTTACGATTCTTTGTGGATTGCTCCGACGCCTGCCTGGTGGCTCGGGTAAACCATCATATCGGCAAGTACGACATTCTCCCTTCTGCCCGCGGCGAAGACGATGATTTCGGCGATGTCGCCCGGGGTAAGTGGTTCGCATCCGCTGTTCACGCACAAATTGAGTCAGGGGTCCCCAAACGTAGACCGGAGGCTGTGGGGAGAGACGTACGCATACACTCCATCAGCTTTGGCCTTGTCACCCCTAAACCTCACGAGCGAAAATTCGGTTTCGACCTGTCCGGGGTCAATCTCCATAACTCTGATCCGTGTGGAGATCAATTCCCTCCTCAGAGAATCAGTGAAGCTGCGGACGGCAGCCTTGGTCGCACAATAGATGCTTCCACCCGGGTACGGTTCTCTACCAGCGATGGAGCCGACGTTTATTATGTCTCCGCGATCGCGGGATTTGAAGCCCGCCATGATAAGCTGGGTCATGTTGACGAGACCCGTGACATTTGAGGAGAACATGACGTCGATGTCCTCTTCCGCGATGTTACCAACCGTTTCAACGCCCTTGACAAGACCACTGTGACAAACAAACAGAAACATCAGTAAACTAGACCTCGTATCATCCATCACGGAATGTAGGCAACAGTGTGGTGCAACGGAAGCATACGCATTGTTAACCAATATGTCCACCTCTCTCCACTCCTCGGGAAGCCTGGCCAAAAAACCCTTCACATCCACCGGATCAGAGACATCCAGACGAGCAGGCAGCACCTTTGTAGCCCCAGCACTCTCCTTCTCGATGGCTGCAGCAAGCTCCCTCAAAACCTCTTCCCTTCGCGCGGCAACAATCAATTTTATTGTAGGAGAGGTCCTGGAAAATTCGATTGCGGTCGAACGACCGATCCCAGAGGAGGCACCAGTGATCAGGACGGTCTTACCCGCTAGGCGAGCGGACATTGCGGAATGAGACATTTGGAGGGAGAACACGCGGGGGTATGTGGCGATGGTGGTGCAGGAGGTGCGGAACAGGCGAGGGAAGAACATGCAAGATGCGGAGAGGTGTCGATGTACCGGTATATAGGGGCTGGTGTATTCGTTTGGATTTGATGGAGGCTCTGCTGGAGAGGGGCGCTAGTATGATTAATACTATTCGTAGACTACTCCTACAAGTACGATTCGACAGGGCAAGCCAGGACATGGGAGAGCGGGGATCGGGTGTTTGGTTTGTCAGATCGGGTCAACTCGGCCCAGTTAGCATTGCCTACCATACTGGGCCCATCCTGATTTCTTGGGGCCGGCAATGATGATATGGTACGGCATCATGGGACCTGATTTATGATAGTCTACGGTACGAGTAGAGTATCATAACTTACTGCGTAGTCTACCGGCACTGGGATGCCGGACTGCCGGGACGATGGAAAATCCGTTGTTCCCGGCCAGGATTCTTCGGTGATGGGCCTGGGTCTGGGTATGGTATGATATACGGTAATACGGTCGTAACTTATCGCTCACTGTTCATGTCAGCTACTGTCTGAAGTTTATGTGAATTTATCAGCGAATTTTTTCAAGTCATCATCAAAACCTTCTTGTCGACCCGAGCTAAGTTTTCGCCGCGCTCAACTCGGCCTAAAGTGAAGGAGAGCTTGGATGGGTACCATGATACCGCCGCTGGCATTGGTGGACCGTCGCTCTCAAGGGAGAAAAAATATATGTTACCTCTGGCATCCGTGGGCTACCTACGAAAAAGGTGGTTGAGCAAAGGGAAAGGGAAATGGTGCTTGCATCATATCATACCGTATGATACTTGCTCGACCTGGCTGCTGAGCCTAAATACGGTGCTGGCGCAAATAACGCCCGGGCTATGTCTGAAGGGGCAGGGCAAGAGCTCTGTTGATGGTTAGAGTTCGCTGACAAATTTTCCCAGCCGGTCTGCTTATGCAATCAATCCACTTATGGGACTCGCAAAATTCTGCACCCGCCTCCACGGTCCACTGGAACGGGGGTCAAATCAAGGAGACGAGTGGGTTCGGTTAAGGCCACTCGTAACCAAGGCTGCCGCCCTATGGATCTGACGTAGCTTATGGATGGATGGATGGATCCAATGAGGTGCGCCCACCAACAGTGGCGGAAGAGAGAAGATGATCGATCGCCACCAGCCAGTCAAACCTCTCGTTCCGGATGAATGAGGGGTATCGTAGCACGATCTCTTAACGGGGGAGGGTAGGGTAGACCGTTATACTACTTGTACGAGTGCGGCCGATAGATATATTAGTCACGTGTGATAAGATAACAAGAAACCAGCAAAGCGGCAAGTTGCAACGACACAGATGGAAAACACCATAGCAGGATTGATGAGAGAGTGTGAAAAAAAAAAAGACCACTTGAAAGAGAAAAAAATGACCTGATTGTTGGTATATGGTTTGGTTTTCAAGAATGTTATTAGGTAGTCCTATGTCCAGAGGATGTTGTGGCGATGACGATATTCTGCTTTTCATGCTAGTTGCTACCCTGCCGCTCTAAGTCCTAATTTCGCACTAATTTCACGTGACTAATATATCTACCGGCCGCACTCGTAGCGAATAGGCCTTGACGGCCGGCCGGCCGGGTGGGACTATGGATTGAGTTATGGTCAATTGGTGGAGGGGGGGGGATGGAGGAAGGAGGAAATGATGATGACAACAGGTACCGTACGTCAGTGAAGTACCTTGGAAACAAAAAAACTATCGGGCCGGGGAACTGTGAACACCATACCAGTAAATTTAGTAGGACAAATAGGGACACCGGCGTTATGATGGCACCTCGCAGGATGAGTGAACACCTTACTTCCTCCCTTCTCACCGTATCATCTATCCAAAAGTTACAAAAAAGTTATTTCACGATAAGTTGGAGCCCTAACCATGCCAAGGTCCCCGCCGGAATTGTGTAATAATTGTAAAATCTTCACGGCGTGTCTGCATTGAGCCCAAAAGCTCAACCTCAGATTTGGCTCAATGTCAGATTTTTTTGTCAATTCCAAGAACCCTGTTGATTAAGATAATAATATTACAGTACGCCCATCAGAAAACAGAAAACCCTTTCGTAACACTTGTGGTCCGCCTCCCATCACAAGGAGAAAATTGCGTTCGGCGGGCGTCCCACCAACCCCACCAGAAAACAAAAAAATAAAACAAAGCCCTTCCGCAACTCTTACGGCTTGCCTCCCATCACAAGAAAAAATTTGCGTTTGGCCCACATCCAACCGGTCTCATCGGTGGCGAATTTGGCGAGGTCGTCGTCGTCGGCCGTCCGTGTCCAGGTAATTAGCTCGTCGAACTCCTCTTGCCTGTTCCAACCAGGGTGGTCGTGGAGGATCGTTGCACGGTGGTTCATTATGGAAACGATGTGGGGATGGCCTGTAGGATACGGTGGTACAGCGCCTAAATTTTGTAGGTTCCACAAGCTAGGCATGCTGCCCTGCTACTACTCGCAAACGCATGACGTTTGTGAACACAACTGCCATTGCATACCACCAAAATCGTGAGGCTCCGGCCAATTTTTTGCCCGTATGCAATAGCAGTTGTGTTCACAAACGTCATGCATTTGCGAGTAGCACACCTCTGCTTGTGGAACCTACAAAACTTAAGAGCAGTACTCCCGTAATACTGTTAGAAACTATTGCACACTAGAAACAATTCATCAGCTTACCAATCAGCTCCGATGCGGTTCTCCAGTCCAAGCCGTACAAGTATTTGAATGTTTGGTGGTAGGTTATCAGGCCATTTTTTAGAAGGCATATGTCTGTGACCACGTCCCTACCGTGGGCGATGTTGTTTCCCTCGCGGATAGATGACCCAATGCCGACTCCCTCCATCCCCGCCCCCCTCCGTGACGTCGCAAAAAACCTGTTTCTGATTCCTGCAGCGAGTCCCTCCAGGGGTCCCAATATGGTAACGTACCCGATGGCATAGCGAAAAATATGGTACAACGAAAAATTGTTGAAAAAGAGCGGAAACTGGCTACTGAATAGGCGGAGGAGGTAGATTCAAACTTGATTTCACATAATTCTTGTAGTAATAGCTCTTCCTAACTGCTTGTTATTTGCTTGATTTGGGTTTTCATTTTATTAAACCGCTCTGTTGGTATCCCATGTCGGGATTTTTCGTTGTACCAT